TGAGATTTCAATCTTCTTATCCGTAATATGTATATAAATGAGTCATGACGATGTGATGATGTTCGACGCTTGATTTGGGCCTGTTGGGGACTCGAGGATGGCTGTGCACTGTGGCTGAGACCTCTGCGATGCCTATATTACCTAATCCAACCCATCCGATTTTGCTGAAGCATTTCCTCTTCCGGATATACTAAAAATGGTCAGTACCTCTGTCAGACTGTCACATGCGATCAGATACTATTCCATGGGACCGTGGAGGTCACGGCATTCAGAATTGAACATAGACAGGGACCTGACTATTGTGGGCCGACAAGGCTTAGGCCTCATCACCAAAAACCAATGACAGTACAAGGGTCCAAGTAGTGACTACTAATAAGGTTCCCGTGTGGCTGGAGAGTCGAGATGGAGAGCTTCTCTTCGGTTGCCCCTCCAGCCTCCAATCACTATCAAGTGCTTGTCGTCATCCGTGGATCCCTATCACGATCTTCTGGATACTCAACGGATGGCAGCCTGTGAGAAGCTCTCATCGCTGTTTCTGGGGTCCATCATGCTTGGCATCCAGGAAATGCCTCCACCGATCTTCATGCTACGACACCTTGTCCCCTGGGACTTATTACAGCACAATCTTGCTGCCTTCGAGGGTGGCATTTTTTCAATCTCTGCGCTCTATTCTTCACCCTGAAAGAATCCCATTGCCTGCAGCTCTTTTTCGGTGGAATTCGCAGTTGACGAATCGCCTTCACTCGATCTCTTCTTGAGAATAGCTCTCACCCAGTCGAATTCCATACTTACCATTTACTGTTTGTTTACGACCTCTTGCCGAGTCGCGAGTAAGAAACGTCAACATGGGAGCCGGCGGCGTCGTTCTTCGCTTTTTCAGTTTAGCCATCCGTGTGCTTCAGTTCCTCGATGCCGCAGTCATCCTGGGGATCTTCTCATACTTCCTGGCTGTCCAGAGTCAACACAACCAGCCCATTCCAACATGGATGAAGGCTGTCGAGGGTCTTTCCGGCGCGGCAACTTTGTACGGACTACTCGGCATACTCTTCACCTGCTGCCTGGGAGGGATCGCCTTCTTCGCCTTCCTGGCGATCGTCCTCGATGTTTGCTTCATCGGAGCGATGATCGCCATTGCCGTGATGACCCGGGACGGAACTCAGTCCTGCTCCGGGCACGTCGATACTCCCGTGGGATCCGGCGCCGATAATGTCGACAGCGCATCCGGCGTCCGGCTTGGCTACGCATGCATGCTCGAAAAGGTAACCTTTGCGGTCTCAATTATCGGAATGTAAGTCGGACACTCTTCTCTAGCCTCTCTCTCTCTGTCAAGTTCTTTACTAATTCCACGAACCATTAGTTTCCTCTTCTTGATCTCGATTCTCTTCCAAGCCCTCTACGCCCGCCACCACAAGCGCGAGAAGCGTTTCGGCCCGTCCCCTGCCAACGGGTACACCTACGGCACCCAACGCCGTGGCTTCTGGCGCCGCAACAAGGATACCCCCGAAACCGCCAGTGCAGACGATATGCTTCCTGGCCACCCGACCCCCCACGACGTGGAAATGGGCGGTGATGCCGAGAAGCCCGGCGGCTTCGGTGGTCGCTTCTTCTCGCGTAACAAGAACGCCAATGCGGCCAATGGCACGCCGAGCACGGTGCAGAATGGCTATGGTTATGGCGGCTCGGCCTATACCGGCAATTATTGATCACGGCAGTCCTCCCGTGTGAGGGTTGCCAGTAGGTCCGGTTTCCATTGCCTTGGAGTTGCCCGAAAAGAAACTTATATGCGTGGATAATGAATTTAACCGCGCCTCGTTTGCTGAGTAGTGTTTGAATTTGATTCTGCCGGAGGCGATCAGGCCTATGATTGAATGAGCTAGTTGATGATACCACTCCTAATACTTATCAAGTTTGTTGATTGGAATTGCTGTATGGTAGTTGCTCCGTGGAGAATTACAACTAGAATGTGAGGTAGTATCCGACCGTAGTTCACTCCTTAAATGAGATGAAAAAAGATTGAGTGTCTTCTTTGACGCTGCCTCAAAGAATCCCCAACCAGCGCCGCACATTGTCTGAGTGCCTCCGTCGCCGAGAAGAACCTTCCTATCCAGCACCCGAGAATAATGTCGCCCCCAAACAAATACGTTACATCTGGAAATTTCTGATTTCTGTAGCGAGCTTCAATTTCAAGATCAACCTGCTGTTCACGTTGAATCCAGGCTTGGATGACAGACGGATTGTTTGAAAGCATCACATCTTCTGATTCCGCATGGTAAAGTTCACTGTAAGGCGCCTTATGAGCCACAAGTTCATACGATGTAGAGCCGAGTGCAAATAGGTCAGATATAACTGAGTTTGGAGCTTCGTAATCTCTTGGCGAACAATGAGATGCTTTCTCATATCCTAACGCCATGTGACCAGGGTACTGAGATGAGTTAAAGTCGCCCAAACGCACATCCAAGTTGTCATCAAGGAAGAATTGCCGCAAGGCCAGATCAGAATGGATTATATCATGCTCGTGGATACCATTGACTGCTTCAATGACCTGCCGAAACCATTTTTTTTGGAGATCGAGCGTGACCTTATCTTTTTCCTTAAGTGTAAAAGCTGAACCTGGGGTTCGTGATGCTTCAGTTGATTCTGTATCCTCTTTTTTTTAGTGGGTTGGCAGGGAGACAAGGTCCTTAATGTTTTATCAGACGTGAAGCTTTACAATTTGCTATGGAGTATAGTAGTCCAGGAATGTTCATCTTCTGGTCATGCTCTGCGAATCTATTTCCATTATGTCGCGAACCACTTGTCTTGCAAAAGCTCTGCTGCGGAAGGTCTGTCTCTTGGATCAAGCTTCATTACTTTTAAAACAAATTCCTTGTCTTCCTTAGATATCTCCTGTTCTGAAATCCGGGAGAAAAGCTTTCTTCTTTCAGGGGGAATACCTTGCATGATGTATGCGAGGACATTCAACTTCTCCTGCGGGCAGATTTCGCGATATGTCAAAGGGAATGGCCCAAAGAACTCACACTGCCTCTGAAGAATCTTTAGGTCGTAATCATCATGATCCGCGGGAACGTCTGGTTTGAATATGAAGAAATTGCCTCCATATAGCAAGGTTATAAGCTGCTGGAGAGTCAACGCTGCTCAACAACTCAAAGAGGTTGACATGAACATACTAAGGTGCCAAAGGACCATATGTCTGTTTGTGTGCCCCAGCCAATTCGGAGCTGCGCTTCAGGGCTCCTCCAGATAGGTCTCCAATCAAGTCACCATCCTTAGCATATGCAGAATCTGAAGGAACCATACTCCCACAGTCTGCTAATTGAACATCTGTAAATCACACATCCCCTTAGCCATAGTTTACAAGAATGTTGTCGGGCTTGATGTCTTCAAGACAGATAAGATAATGAATGTAGCCCAGATGATAATTACACTTACCTGTGTGTACAAAATTATCCTCATGGAGAACTTTTAGGGCTTCTAAAATCCTTCTTACAACATATTTGATCTCCAGATTTATAAGTCGCTGAGAGACAGAAGCATTCAGAAGGTGATCATCTAAATATCTCAAGACTATCATCGGTGGATCAGATGGCTCGACTATCTCATCAATTAAAGGGCATATAAAGGGGGTGCGAGATCAAAAGCGGTTCAGCACGTCACGCTCATTCTGGAGGCGAAAATGATGGACGCTTTTCACAATCACAGGTTCATTGCTCTCGCACCTCACCTGCTAAACAGTCCATTATAAACCAACCTTTGTTTCGTAGGTTTGGAGTAGCCTCGTACCTTACAAGCCAAACTGTCTCTTGTAGTTGTCTGCCAACGGTGTGTATTCCATTCTGACCCCAAAGAAATTAGCCTATTCGGAGGGAAGAAGTCATGGCAACTTGCACGAAGCTGAGAAGCGTGCTTTCTTGTTCTTTGCTCTTGGTTTCTTAATCGAAGTAGAAGAACTCTTACCAGCAGGCCCAAGAGGCAAAACAATTATGCCAAGGTATTCAAGGATCGGACTTTTGAACAACAGGGCGCGGACCTGCACTGAATGTGATGTGGACACACAACCAATTTGACGCCTTTCAGTTAACAGCACTGATTGGCCAGACCCTCATATCAATAACATAGAACCACAGCGCCTGTTCTAGCGCCGGGATTCTATCTTTACTTTGTTCTCTCCCTTGGGGGGGAGCTGCAGTAAGTTGCAGTCTCGCAACGAAGTGCTTGATTGGCGTGGCGACACAAAAGGTACCTATCATGCTTCAGTCCCAACCATGTTGGTCCAGTCTTTTATTCGCTTTGACCGACTCCATTTGCGCTCCAAATATGAAGCTAGAACAGCGAGGGGACGGTTCTCATATACTTAAGGCCATGACGAGGGCGGAGTTTACAAGACGGCATAGTGAGGCCATACCGAAAATGGCAAAACTAACCACAACAGGGAATTCACAGGTCCTCGCTTTACAAGGAAGAAAAAACAACACATCTACAAGAGGTGTCAAACACCCATGTAAATTAATTCATGTTGGACACCTGCTGACCTTTTTTTTGCCGACACCTACCGACCTATTTGCGACACCCGCCGAGCTGCGAGCCCTACTTCGGTCTTTAAACCTTGTTATGGCGAGAGGAGGAATTGGAATATCGTGAATTCTTCTAACTTTTTTTGCCTATCAGGGCGCCCAGGGGAAAAAGAATAATAATTGATAATAGGATTAAAGCGTAATCTGCTTTGTCCATCGGATGGTCTGTAGCTCAGCGACAAATCTGCAGAGCGCCTAACTGATCTCCACTCGTCTTCCACGCTATAGGAAGGTATCGGAAAAGACCGTAAGATATATCGCAAGCATCAGAAAGAAACCGTTTCACCTAGAATATTGCTGTTGCGCAGATAAATAACATCAGACAGGCCGCAGCTGACAAGGCTTGGAACGCTGTATTTGCCTCCGATTTCACAGGCTTCCTCACTCGTCCACTTCCAGGATGTGTAGGGTCGGCCGTTGGCGGTTTGGCTATACCTCCATCGGTGTCATTGTGCGATGGCTCGTCCAAGGAGAAGCAATTTCCAGCGTTCGATTGGCAACCAAATCCGCAGTGAAGATTGGAGGTACCACAGTAGTCGGCACTACTACAGCAAGGTCCAAAGCTTGATCCAGCGCACGTATAGTCCTTGCCACATCTACCATCAGGGGAGATGGGCTTCGAAGGAACGTCAGCAGCCGACGGCGGTGATGGAGACTTTCTGACAGGGGTACCAGTAAGAGGCTCTCCGGCTTCGCGATACCAGAATTCTTCAGGATCCTCCAAGCATTCCCCAACTGTCACCGCTTTGTAGCCATATTCTGCTATTCTCCTTAGCATGTGCTCTGTGAGGTTGTAGACTGTTTGTTCATGCACGTCGTGAGCAATGACGAGCCAGGATTTCTCTGAAGCTTTCCATGGCGCCAAGGCATTATCGAATGCATCCTTGGAGACTTGAATGGCGCTAGGACTATCATGACTATAGTCCTTCGTGTCGATGTCATAAAGAATGATATGGTATCCCATCCTGTCCATGTCGTCCAAGCAGCCCGATTCAGGTAGGCAGCTCGAGTAGGGAGGACGCATATAGGTTGGAATTCTGCCCAATATGTTGCGGAACGCAGCTTCATTCTTCAACATTTGCCCTCGTCGTTGATCTGGCGTAACTTTGCTGAGATCTTGGTGCGACCAGGTGTGACTCGCAATCTGGTGTCCACTCTGTTGCATGCGTTGAATCAAAGAGGCCCATGGTAGATCGGGATGATCTATTGGGCCCTTGGAATTATTGATTCCAGAGATAAAGAACGTCGCCTTCGCGTTATACCGGTCCAATAGGTCGAGAAGGTCAGCAGTGTATCGGTTCGGACCGTCATCATAAGTCAGGGCAATAGTGCCTGCTTTCGCACACGCGCGAATGACGTGCGGGCCATATGGTACGCTACCGACGTGTGTCCGAGGTATATCTTCGACGGGAGGACCCGCTGGGCTTTTATGAGCGTCGCAATGACCGAAGTCAAGCTGGCAGTCTGGAGAGCGACAGTGAGCCTCAGTAACGCCACAATAACCTGGAAACAACGGTTAGTCAGAGCACATGGCTGGACGGAAAGGGAAGAGGACGTACCAGCAGTCGAACAGCATTTGCCATCCGAACAAGTTCCCAGCTCAGGACCACATCGCACGCCGTCACCGCGACTTATCAACAGGTGTGGAGTGACATTGCCGTCGGGCACATACACCGACTGAGAGGTGTGGTGACCAGGCTGCAATTTGATGATGTTGCGAGCAGCTGTGTGCCCCTCGAGCCCGAGGATGGGTAAGAGCAGCAAGTGACGCATATGCATCTTGGAGTTGAGTTCGAAGAAGGATGCTGGAGCTAATATGCAGGATAAGATTGAGTGGCAATTATGTGTGATTGAGAGGATGTGATGAGGAAGACTGTTGAATTCTGAGTCGAGGAGTTGAAGACACGGGCGGCATGTTGCTTCCCTTTTAGAGAGAGCAGCAACACAGACAACAGAAATGGCAGGAAGAAAGACGAGCAACGCATAGCGAATCGGAAAGAGCATAATGAGGAAAGGACGGACTGGATCATTACACGTTCATGTCGGATTCCCTGTACCATGGCAGTTGTAATGAAGATTGAATGATTGAGGACGCTGTCACATGGTTGTAATATAAGTTGACAGGATTTTGCCATGAATTCCAGCTCAAGGATCTTGCGGACGCCGTGGAATTTGTCTTCTCAGAGCAGCAGATTCTAACGTCATACTCCTCAAAAGTATCAGCGACAACCAGACCATAGGAGCAAAGCAGTATCTACCTAGAAATCATTGAGACATGCCATAGGGAGAAAGGCTCATGGGTAACATACGATATACAGCAGTGAGAAAAGCTAAGGTTACCGTGGACAGGGTATCTGATTTGAGATTCTGAGGCTGCTACTGCACTGGTCGGACCATTTTGGTAGACATGCCATTCAATAGATATAATCAAGCTACCTGACCAAGACTCTCCTCGCCCACAGCCGAGAACACGAAAGGCGCTAGAGTCTGAAGATGGGGTCCGAACTTGGCCGGAGCACTTTTGGCTATGCTGCCCACCGTAGCAATCAGATGTCGCCGGTGAACGGTTGTCAACTGCGAGGAATTGAATCTCTCGACGAGCTCAGCCACAAAGGCGTTCAGTTGGTTGTCCGAGAAATGGAGCACAAGGACTGAGATAGCGGCCAATGCCCTTTTGGTGACAACGGTACCAGCCGTGTCGTTATCAATAATGGACATGACAGATTTTTGCAACGCGGTCAACTCTTCCTCCTTGAGAAGAGGTCCAAAGCATGTGACCACTTGGATCAGGACATCAACTGCGTCGCTACTGAAGCCTTTAGCCGGATCTTTTTCTAGCATCCCCTTTACAACAGAACCCCTTCGGTTTGAGGGCGACGGCGTGGGACCGATTAAACGAGGAATGAGAACTCTCGAGACGGCGGAGTATGCCGTGGTGGCTTCTTTGCTGGGTGCTTGCCCTGGTTGAGGACGAGGGAGTGCTGTGACAATGACTCGGAGGGCGGTGTTGGGAACAGAGGTATCGATGGATTGTGAGGCGGTTAAGGTCGATAGTTTCTCGAGAAGAGGCATGAGGCTTTCAAAGGGTAGCCGAAGGGCAAGCGGACCGAGACTGGAGTAAGATATGAGTGAGCGATATATTCAACAAAAGCGGTACTTCTAATACAAACCATTTCAGCGCTTGATTCTGGACATCGCCATGTTGGTCGTCTAAAGCTTTGAGCAATCCGTCGACGAGTCTCGAAGCCGAGTGTTGATCGTGGGAAAGAAATGAAGAGTTGGGATTATTCAGGATGCCTAGTAGATCATTCAAGGACATATATCTCAGATCTGCATCTGGATCGTCGAGCTTCAACAACAGACTATTGAGATTCTGCTGAATGGCCTGTCTGTCCGCCATGGGTGAAGTTGAAGCCTGAGAGGAGCACGGTGACGGAGAAGGATATAGGGCAAACTAAGACAGGGAGACTCGCAGATCAAAGTTTCAAGAGCTTTCAATAAGACTCAGTGGAAGTAGATGGATGGAGAACGTGGGGGCGCAGTCAACGAGGGGAAAAAGGTGCCTCAGGAAGCCAGAGCTGCCCGTACTGCCTGAGGCTACAATGGCTGGATCCAGACTTTTGAGCTCCTACGGGGGGTCACACAGACCATTTGTGCAGCATTCCATCTCGACGATCGAGGTCTAGGACGACAAGATCTCTTTCGTACAATTGATGCGAATGAACTGGTCGGACATCTGACATGACAGTTACTTTCAATTACACCTCAGTTGTAGACATATAGCATATCATGACCATACCAAACTCGGCCATAAGAGCTACTACTCCCCGCACGCCGAAATTACATCACCACCACTCTACTAACGCTTGGGCCACGCCGGTTGCTCCCGCTCCGAGCTTCTTGGTCGTGCTTCCATTCCTTGCTTGGAGGCTGCTGGTAGCCCGGCCCATGGCCTGCATACGTAAGAACAAGGGCATGTCATGTCACCACTTCCAACCTCTCTCCTCCTTAACTTCTCCTTTCATCCCTATTGCACCACCAATCTTTATACAGCATCTCTAACCTCCAATTCTTGACCTCATTCTCAATCTAGATACATACAACCACCATGGTTCTCGCACGCCCTCAAATGATCCGCGCATCCCTTCGTGCCGTCGGAGCCACTGCTCGACGACCCGTACAGCAGGCCGGACGCCGGACGTACGCTTCCGCAAAAGAAAACGTCAAGAAATTCAGCGACTTCCCATGGTAAGCCATCTGCATCCGTTGTGCCCATCAAACATCGCATTCCATATGTCAGGCGGCTAACGACTCGATTTCCAGGATGCTGGCATCAGTTGGCCTCGGCGTCCCCGCTGCATTCTACTTGCTTCAGACCGAACCCTCCAAGACCCCCCCACACGGCCACCACGGCGAAGACAAGTTGACTGAGAAAGAAGTGAAGGATGTTCCGATTGAGGAGAAGCTGCAGACTGACGAGAAGCCTTCTGCTGTCGACGAGGTAAGTAATTCGCTATACGGCTTGCACCCATCCCCCACGTCAAATGTATGCTGAAGATTCCGCAGCCTGCCTCTCGGAAGCCACCTTCAGGACACAACACCATGTCTAGCAAGCAGGAGGGCGTTGACAATGCGGACACTGCCAACCCTTACGTTGCGGACCCGGGAAAGAGCGTAAAGGGCGAGGGCGAGACCGACAGTGTCAAGATGAAGGGAAGCATTGACCCTGAGCGGCCACAGCGGTGATTGCACTCTGTTTTGATGGGAAGAAACTCAGTATGCGAAAATGTCCGCGTCAGCCCTGTCCGATATTGATATCTCTGGATGTTGAAGAGACTCAATGTGTAATATATTATAGCACAATATTTTCACATAACGAAGACCTTCGCCGCCGTAAAGTGTCACAAACAGCTGAGGTTCTTGAGCACTTTCAGCACGGCTAGGTAGGATGGAGCCAAAGTGAAGAAATCGACCATTGCGCCGAATAATCAGCGAAAATCTTGATTATGATTATCATTAACTGTGCAGAATGCGGTCTTCATGGTCATCCCCGAAAATAGTACACTGAACTGCCCACTCATGGAAATCGTCACTATGTCCATTCAGCTTCGCCATGCACAACGTCAAACACGAGAAAGGAATTCAAAAAGTATCTTTGCAGGAAGAGAAATTTGTCATACACCATAGAACCATCGCAATATAACAGAGAGTAAGAAGACTTGCCAAGCACCGCCGGAGAAGTGAAATTCATGATATAGACAAAGCTCAGCGAGCTATTGATGCCCAAAGTGACAGTAAGGAAATACTCGGTTAGCCCACGGGATCGCAAAATCGGTCGCTATGAGTCGGCCTTTGCGCCAAGAGGCTCGCCATTGACCAGAACCTGAGGGGCCTTGTTTGTATTGCGAGGGGTGAGAAGAGGTTGCTCCGCTCCGGTCGCAAGGGTGGCATGGCTCTCTGCCTCCTGCTCGAGTTCCTCTTCGGTCTCGTCGTCGCTTCTTTCGTCCTTCTTCACGCTGTTGAAGATGTAGTTCTTGAGAATGCGAAGGATCAAGAAGAGCCAGAAAAGGTTAACGGCTTGCAGACTGGCCAGCAGGGCGAAGGTGATGATTTGACTGATCCAGCATTTGTACTGCTGAGTCTCCCAGTTGAGCTCGTAGGGTCCAACGGTGCGAAACTCGGTCAGAACGGCCCAGAGGATCTTCAGATTGAGTACATGGCGCAGGTAGATCCACATAACAACGAACGTGCCGAAATATGGCACAGTGATGATGGAGTCGAGATAGTTGAGGGTTTTCGAGGTCTACAAGAAGAATCTGTTAGCCCTCGTTCAATTAAGGAGGATACTTGCAGGCATACCGCGAGGAAGAAATCGGAGATGTCATGGGTGATGTAGACCGCAATACCCATATAGGTGAAGTGGAATCGGTAACTCAACCCGATCAGCGCCAAAGTGATGATGTGATGACCGACAAGCTCCTTGAAATCCTTTCTGGGCTTTTCGAGCTGCAACAGCAACACAATCGCTTGCTGAGCCCAGTAACTAGCCTGAAGCAGGTAATAGGCCTTGAAGATCGCTACGTGCTCCCGGTGAGGGAAACCCTCAAACATGGCCGTGGTGTTGAAGTACCAAATATCCGTCTGCTTCATCACGTATAAACCGAAAGGCCCAAAAATCGCAAAGTACATGGCTGTATAGACCTGCTCCATGAATCTAGCCGTCTTTCCTCTGCCGCGAATGCCACAGTATGCAGCCCATGGGCGAATCACGCATTGCATCAGAAACTCTCGTGTGAAAGACAGGACAATAGTGTAGAAGCCGACAAAAGCAAAGTCCAAGGGCCCTTTTCCGTACATGACCGGGCCGCCAGGAGTCTTGGGAGGTTGCGGGTAAGACAAGAAGAGAGCGCTGTGGAGAGGATTGGCCGGGGTGGGATTAACGGCGTATGCGAGGAGGATCACAGTCATCAGGAGGAGAGGTAGAACCCAGGTGTGTTTCACACATAAGTCCTTGAATCGACGGAGGGGCGATCGGTTCTTGCGCCGCTTGGTTTGCGATTTGAGAGATTTTTCAGGGGTTGCCTGGTTCTTCTGTAAGGCCTGACAGTAGTGAGCACGGGACCGAGAGGAAGGACAATATTGAGGTCACGGATAAGGATATACCTTGTCCCATTTTGGAGCTTCTCCCTCAATAGGGCTGACCTCGTTCATGGTGGACATGGCCGGGGCGGTATCGCCTGGGATATCCTCTCCCAGAAGGCTGGACTTGCGTGGATGACCCATGATGGGCTAGCTGATAGTTTGGGAGCTCGAATAGTCCTCGATAATGTATCGATTGCTCTTATTTTTTTCCAGAGGTAAATAAACCGACAATCTTCGTATTTGCTGCGCTGAGCGGGCTGGCTCCAAGGACAAAGTGCAGCGGATAGCGGAGCGGAATCGGCGATCTGCAGTCACCAAGTGGAGCAATCAAGATGTTAAGATAAGGAGGGAATAAGGTCAGGTCGTCAGGAAGGAGAAAAGAAGATAAAAGAGTCACAAACTCCTACGACTGTTGAAAACTCCTAGCGATGTTGCCATGGTTGTTGAAACTGAGATTAAGGGGCAATAATTTTCTTCTCCGCCCAGACTCCACCGCACTACTGCGCACCGTCCCGCTCCAATTGCAACCACCACCAATCGCAAGCCCTTCTTGTAACTTTGTTCATTCGATTCGACCTCCATTCAGTTGCTTTCAACCTTTTCTAATTGGACTTGAGAAGCTCAATCGTTGCTTTTCCCCTGCGAGTCGAAAGATCATCGATCAGATACTCCTCGCGTTGCAATAATGAACCAAGCCGACATGCAGAACACATTCTGCTTACCTCTAAGTGCCATGGCTATTGCTAGAGTGATTGCCAACCTACTGGTGTCAGCTTTTGACGTTAATATCAGAGCTTACTGGTTTGTTTGACTATCAGGTCTGCAGCATACGGTAATGCAACTACTACTTCATCATAGTAAAAATTTGCAGTACGTGAGGAAGATCTGGGAGCACTGGTCTGTCAAATGAGTCGCGCCTCAGAGCGGAAGTAATCCAATATCAGTATGCTATAGGTACTAATCAAAACCCACAACGGACGCCACTTGTGATAGAATACAAACGCAAAGAATGCAAAAAGATGATATTAACCCTATGGTACCCATAACCTTACAAATCCTCCAACCTCCTGTCGACAGGTCACGCAGCTGCCGAAATTGTTCATCGCAAGGCTCACTCTGCATTCCTCGCATACACAAAGGCATCGACAAGGCCATGTTATGATCGAACGTGGGTTGGTCTGGCAGATGACACACGGCGGACCGTCCGGTCCAAGGCCCGAGGCGCCCGACTCCCACGCCTGCGCCTCAGGACCTGCACGATTGGCTTCGGATCGACGAGCCAGAATGAAGTTCTCGAGCATCTCAGACTCTTCCTCCGGAGTTGGTTTCCGCTTCTCCTTACCCGTCTGCTGGCCAGCAAGCCGTGATAGCCGCGAGGATAAAAGAACCTGCGCTCTCTCGCGCTCCATCTTTTGCTGAAATTGACGTCGCGTCATAATGCGTCCATCTCGCCCAGCAGCAAGATGGGCAGCTAGGATACGTGCCTCATGCCTGCTTTCCTGGTCACGAGGGTCGAGGAGGCGCGCAAAAGAGCCAACATCCATCAGCGACTCGTCAAGAGGGCTGCTCTCCCGCGAGACGCCTGCTGGGTATGGGTTGCGTGGCGTAGGTGTACGTCGGCCATCAGATTCGTCTTCCCACTCCGATTCACCATTTGTTGACATAGATACAACGCTGGTGGTATCACAAAGATCGTCGCTGTCAGAGGGTATATAGTCGGGACTCTGATCCTGGTTACCCCACGAGCCGCCAGCTCTCCACCAACCATAGAGCTTTTCATCGAGGCGCTTCTCGTCGGACTCCTCCCAATGCGGTGCAATGGAAAGCTCCCTTTTTCGCATTTCCTTCTCTACATCAAACTCATAGTCTCCAGGCAGCTCAAGTTCGCCTTCGTCGGTCAGGATCCAGAAATCCAGCGATTCTGTCCGACTGTTACTATTTCTCTCTTGCAGGGCCCTTCTGCGCGACCCGACTAGAGTCTTCAGCCATTGTGGTCGCGCACTGATGCCGACTCGGTCTAGTACTCTGTCGAATCCGTAGGCGGTCCACTTGAGTATGAGATAGAAAATGCCACGAAAGAAAGAGAAGCCATGATAGCATCTAGTCGCGCCTCGAAATGCGCCAACACCGCCAGGATCGGTGTGAGACCGTACGGACCGAGATCCGCCTTTAGGTTTCTCGATCTTCTTCTCCTTCCCGTACCCACTTTCCCATTCTGCTGATGGTTCCGAAATATCGAAGGTGATTGGTTCGACACCTGTAAATGGCACGTCCCGGTCGTAGCCCCCTGGACTCTGCCGGGTAGAGCGAGAGCGTCGTGAATTTTCGATCTCCGCCAGCCTATCCTCCTCTAACCATGTCATCCGATGTGCAACAACCACTTTCCCTTCGTTCAAAAAAACTGCTTCACTAGCAGCGGTTAAAGCAGTGTACCCAATCCGAAGTAATGTGGTATAGAAATCCTCATGTCGGTTGAAGCGGATATTCCGAATCTGGTTTGCTCCTTGCATGTTTTCGTGGGCGAGTGAAAATCGTTCTCGAAGAGAAAGCGGCTGCCCAGCGTCCGGTGGTAATGAAAAAGCCGTGATCACGAGAGCAATAGTATAAATAATCACGCAAATGACAATGCCTAGTAATATCAATAGGTGAGGCACAAAGCCTACAATGCAGACCGTGGGAAATTTCAGTACGCCAGTGTCGCTTCCCGTCGGCGAGCCAGTCAATAGACCCCATACCATGGCAGACATAAAGCAAAGGCCCCAGAAAGCAGTGTTAAATAGGCGATACCGGCTTTGTTTACCTAGCACATCCAAAATGTTTGACGTCAAGCTGTTACAACAAGAGATCAAAGCGATTAAGAGCAATTCAGGAGTAACGTTCATTCGTTCCAAGACCTGCGCTCTGCTAAGCAGCTGGAGGGCTGAGTGGGCGGATTCGCTGGACGATAACGAGCTGTCCTTGCTGGTGGAGTGCTTGGGAAGCCCAAATAACCCAAGCCCAATGGACTGGCTTATCATCGATTCAGCCTCGGCAAAGGCAAGGGAATGCTCGAAAATAGACATCCCAGCCTCGGTCACGACTGCTCTTCCCTGCAAAGCGCAAGAGAGAGTCTCGACAAAGTGGCTGAGGCAGAGCCGCAGGAAAACAGGCCACAAGAAAACGAACGAGCCGTAAGGAACATCCGAGGCGTTGACGGGCCGACTCATCTTCACCGCGCTGCAAGATTGTTGATCGGACTCCCATGATAAAAGTGTGGAACTGAGAGAATAGAGAAATCCGCCTCCAGCAGCATGATCAAGCGACAATCGTTTTCCGGGGGTACCGTAACGAATGAGAGGGTAATCGGGAGATGTTTGACACCGTATAGCACGAAGCAAGACGAGGATCTGAGAGATGAACAACACAATGGGAATGATTCGCAGCGCCATGCGTCGGTGAAAGTCTAGAGTGAGATGTCGTCTGGTTGAAGCATAGATCGTAATCCGATTCAAAATTAGAGCCTTTAAAGTGTGTCAGGATATTCAGGTCTGTCTCAGGCGGATATTCCTTACCACCGTAAAACAAGCCAAGGACCACCGACTGGTCAGATATGAAAAGAACCCGCTAAATCTTCTCATGGCTTGGAGAAATTCTGCCAAGTAAATACCTGTTTCCCCTTGCGCGGCAGCATCAGCCATCCCCTCTCGTGCTGCTCCAGCCGCGGCCTGTGTTGCTGCTACCACCGCATCGGCCTCCGATCCTGTTACAGGGGCATGACCCGAGATCCGTGTCGCCATATCCGGTAGTCCCACTAACCTCGAGAGTTGCCTTGGAAGAGTCGAAAACACAAGGTTCTCCGCCTGACGCAGACCACGCAATGGGAGAGTGAGGAGCTCGCGGGGCGACGAGAGCAGCGAATACCGGGCGGTGGTAATTGCCGTGGAGTTGACAGATTGCATGGCGGATGACGAAGCTGTGGCAGCTGGAGTCGCAAGGATGGTCGCGGTATCTTGAACGAACGACATATTGTTTGACCTCTGTCAAAAGGGAGATTCTGGCCAAATGAGGAGGCGTTGTAAACCAGATGAAGCCTCCCACCACCGGCCACTTGTAGAAGATGAGATCATCCGTTCGCAATACAAAGAGACAAAAAGGGGTATCTTCAACAAAACATAACAAAGTTCTCTGCTCATATAAGAGTCAGTCAAGGAGATATGATGTTGAGACACATTGTACCAGCAGAGCAGCCGATGTGAAGTGGTTTGATGGAGAGGTAGTGAGGACGATGACCACGTCCATCAACCGTGATCTCTTACCTTATCGTTGCGATTTCCCCCCATGTTGGCCCGAAGTCCCGGCACTAACCAGATCTAGTAGTACCAACTGTTTCCCCCACGTGCCTCGGCCAGTTGTTGTGCCTTGAGTGAGACTCATCTTTTTATGAGCATTTTGCTGTCACTATATTTTGATGATTAGGCTACTTATTTTCTGATTGAAGAATGGGTGCTTGAGGTGATTGCTGGCGTCGAAACATCAGGCTCAATGCTGGGCTAGTGTCGCTGAACTTGAATCAGCCCCTACGATGCTATGGATCCTGTGCCATTTAGATGAAGTTAGAGGAACGGTGAATTGTGTCGATGAGACTCATTCATTCATGTCATGTTGTTCTTCGTCATGACAGACCAGTTAGATAGCCGCCTATAAAGTGCTTCAAAAAGGTCCTGAGAGAATAGATTATAGAGCTCTATCACAGCTTGTACATCTCGCTGCGACTCCGTACGCCGTCGAAAATGCATGTATTGTCCAGTGGCACATACTGCCTGGTGATCACCTTCAGTGCTTCCTGCGCCACTAGCCCACCTGTGAGAGCAGATATGTTGTGTAGCTCTCCACCTTCCGTGCGTCTCAACTCTTGTGTAGCTTCCAAGATTTTCTCCCGTGCTCCTTCGTCGATAGCGGCAGAATTTCCGGAGGTGAGGTTACTGATAAAACGTTGGATATAGTTATTCCACAGAGTCTCATCATCAAGAGACGCCTCAGCGATGTTGCATCCCTGAATGTCGGTCACGATGTCATCCAGAATTTGACAGGCGATGAAGATCGCAATAAGAGTTTCGGAAGAGCTGAGGTTATTTGTGATTGTTTTCGAAGTGTGCGCTTCCCCGTTGACGCGAGGAATATCACGGCCATGAATAACCTTGATATGAGCAGCGTTCTTGCAGAAGACCTCGATATTCTTCTCTGGAATGACGGCCGGCCGTGGTCCCAACTGAGCTTCGAGCCTCCTGACTGTTGCTGCTACTTCTTCCACGTCCTCTCTTGCTTTCGATTTGTAGATGTTTTGAAGAGAGACATAGTCTGCCGATTGAGCTTTCATGTCAGGCAGCGAGCCCGGCAGAGGGAGTACCTTGTGCTTTTGGTAAAATTCGTGAACAGCTGCCGCAATGAGCCAGAATTCAGCAGAGTTCTGCGTGAGATTCCTGCACTGATCCATCTCGAAAATCTCGCGGGTTGAGCTGCGCAAGCTGAACGGATTCAATGATTTCAGTACCGCAGCCACCGCCTCATCATAGTTCTCTTCACCACCTTCGGCATTGTTCGTTCTGGCACTAGCCCGAACAAATTCTCTGAACTCTGATTTCTCCTTGTAATTTGAAGGCACATTGCCGTCATGGGATTGTCTCCACTTCTCGAGGTAGTGAATCAGTAACAGTACGTACGGTACGTGGCCATGTTGGTGGTCGTCCATACTGTCCAGGTTGCTAATGCTGGCGCCAGCTGCTGCCAATTCTGGCCATGGATTAAGAAGGCGAAGATCTTGTGTCGCTTCAGGATCCGGGTGTGTCTCTACTATGGGAAATTCTGCTGGAAGCTGAAGGGAAAAAACAGAGTAGAACCCGACAGAGTGCGTATACAGCACTGGGATATTCAGTGCCTTAGCAGCGTTGCAAAGAGTATCTAAAGTAGATCGTTTCACAGGACCGGATATCAAAACCAGCTTATGCTGTGCAAGAAAGTCTGGCTCCTGTTGCAAGACTTCTGCAATAGACTAGTAATCTATGTTAGCGTGGTTATTTCAGAGAGATAAGTTCGAAGGTGACACTCATATACCTTTGCACGAAAACTTCCTTCGACGTCCGGGTTCAACTCTCTCAACAGGCGACAGGTTTCCTCGGCCCTGGATTTTCCCAGACTTCCCTCCTCGAGAAAGAAGTTCACTCCCAGGTCAGGCTCTGTAACAACAGCAGGATCTACGATTGTGAAGCCACCAACACCGGGGAGCACAAGGTTCTTGAGTGTTTCGACACCAACCACGCCCGATACCCCTGTGCCTTGATTTCCCCAGAGACCGTCAGAATTGACTAATAAGACACGAGTCTCTTCCAGAGCTTGCTGCCCGCTCGCAGCCCACAAACGCAGCTGGCGATCATACTTCCTCTCTTTCGATGATGGCCCTACCAGGGCACCAGGGAAAGCATCAGTCATAATGCGGGGTTGATGTAGTTCCTTAGGTCAGCCAGAGAATTCGAATATACTGCAGATTCAAGGAGAGAAGGAGTGACAGCATATAATGGCAAAATCGACGGCCCCTATCCACTGGACATTAGTTAGCAATACATGTGCCTGTGTTGATGATTGTCAGGCATAGCTGTGATATGGTCACATGACCGGAAGGCAGATCGGCCCGTGGAATGTGTTGGCCTGAGGAACCTAAGGGCTGAGGCACTCTCAGGCAGTCAATGCTATGACGCCATAACCCCGCCGTCAAAATAAGTCACTTTGCGATTGTTGTACCTGACACTAGCAAGCATTATTCTGTAGTTCGCTCAATTATAACATCTTTCCTCGCGTCAAATCATTTCAATTGCCATGTCATGTCGGTGATTCTTCCTCGATTGCACTCTTCCCCTCTGTAAGTTCATTTGTTGTGGCTGTGTGGCTCCACGAAAAAGTTCTTTGGTTCTCACCTCGGACTCCCCCACACCGGGGTTATTTCTCTGGCGATTGTATCGGGCCATTTTGGCTCCAGCTGCGGCCACTAGAAAACCTTCCTCTCGGGATACATGAGCTGTCAGCTCTCAATCTAATTCGTCTATGCTCTATAGGACACGGCCCCTGTTCCTTTTCTCCTCATTTATCTCGTCCCCTCGTCCCCATCTCATCTGTCCTTCCCTTTTCCCCAGTCATCGCCCTCCAACTCGTTTTCAGTCCATAATGGCTAGCGCAATCGAAGCCGCAAAGCGCGCCGCCGGCCAGGCTGCTTTCGCCAACCACTACCCCAAAGATGCCAAATTTGTCGGTATCGGCAGTGGATCTACCATTGTATATGTTGTCGAGGCTATCAAAAAATCTGGCATAGATACCTCTATGACAAAATACGTTCCCACCGGCTTCCAGTCCAAACAGCTCATCCTTTCCGCCGGCTTGACAGCAGTCGAGTTCGATTCGCTACCCGAAGGAACCGTACTTGATGTCGCCTTTGACGGCGCGGACGAGGTTGACGATGAGCTCAACTTAATAAAGGGCGGCGGTGCCTGTCTCTTCCAGGAGAAAATTGTGGCTCTTCAGGCCAAGGAGTTCATCTGCGTGGCAGGTTAGCGATGACTCACGCCGTCTTGCGGCAGAAACGGGAACGAAGGACAAAATCATCACTAACACTCACGTCCAGATTCGCGCAAACTCCAGTCTCGTCTCCTCTCGAATTGGAAATACATTCCCATTGAGGTGGCACCTATTGCGGCCCCTCGTGTCCTAACCAAGCTGCGAGAGCTGGGCAGCATTCAGCCCGCGATTCGGCTCAGCGGCACTGCCAAGGGACCCCTGAAGACAGACCAGGACTTTTATATCATTGACGCTCCTTTCCGACCATTGCTCACCAAGGCTGACGTTGCCGCTGGCAAAGACGGCAGCGGAAAGGGTGGAATCTGGGAGGTCGATACCCTGGCGCAGGCGATTAAGCAGATTGCGGGTGTGCTGGAGGTTGGAATCTTCTCCGGCGTGACTGGGCCTCAGGCTCAAGCCCTTGGAGGCATTGGAGGCCAGAAGCCCATCGCTGCTTACTTTGGCATGCCCGACGGCTCAGTATCGGTCCGGAAGGCCATTGTATAGCCTCCTTCCCGCATGACCATCCTAATAAACTGCGTACCGTGGATTACAACAAAAAGGCGATTTATATATATGATACCATAAAACTTTCTGCACGACTTCTCTCTATCAAATATCCCCGCCGCAGAGGATCCAAAACGGACAGCTTTCTTTTACTGTAATTATTATCCAGATTTAATTCCACTCGCTAGTCATAGAGTTAAAGGCATCCTAGAGATCAGTATAGATGTTTATTTCGCACCCTTTCCTTTCGCCTCGGTCTCTCCCAATTCACGCACATAGATCCGGACAGTTCCCTCTGCAACATCGTCTTTTCCGTCTTCGAAACCAGGGCTAACAGCAATCGCCAAGTACTTTCCATTGCCGCTGAAATCCACAGCAGCAATGCTCGACGGATATTTCTGATACTGCCTGATTCTCCTCTTCGCAATACCGTCCCAAAGTGCAACGACACCATCACCACCGCCGGACGCGAATGTTCCATGAATGGGATGGAACGCAAGTGTGTTCACGGGATATACGACGTCAACATCATCAGCCGTCTGTCGATGACACTTGAAAGCATATTTCCGTGCTTGCGACTCAGCAGACGGATCGAACCACTCGACTGCGACTCGTCCCTCAATGCTCGAGGACGCGTAGCCGGCGTCATCGGGCATGCACGCGACACAGCGGGTCATGAATTTGAGACTGCTCTCTCGTCGCTGCCACGGCTCAATCTCAACCTTGTTCGGAGATGTGGAATCCGACTGGTCTGTGAGGAGCGCCAATGCTTTCAGGTCGTAAATGTGGAGGGAGCGCGAGGCCATTGCAACGACGAGTTTCGTGGCGGTGAGAGACATGGAGAAAGGCTTTGAAGGGAGAGGAATGATTGCGGGGATCGAGTCGACTTCAGTATTCGTGCGGTGCACATGTAACGTCGAGTCCCACGATGCAGATATGACCATGTTATGCTCCTTGCTGTAGACGACACACCGGACCCCAGCGTCGTGGCTGCTAAGCACTGTCTGTGTAGATGATGTGACATCGATCCTGCCATATATCAGATAAAGGAACAAGAGACAACCAGTCAAAGTAAAGCACCGAATGACGACGGGGGAACGTACTTTCGGACGTCCCAGTCCAAACCTGCTGTGTAGATCACATCCTCATTCTCGCCGAAACACATGTCGAGCACCGGCGCACGATGTTCAAACTTTTGTAACAGCTTTCCTTCACCGACATTCCCATTCTCGTCTCGCAGGTCATAAAGATAGACATTCTTGTCCCATGACGAAACGACAATTCGCGTTGAATCTGGATCCGGCGAGAACTTCAAAGCGGAGATGGCATCTGTTGGCGGGTTTGCGACGGTGAATTGATCTAGATTGCGGTCAGTACTAGCATGTATGGCGGGTTCGAATGAACTTACTTGATGCCATATTGTGCTTGAACTCTTCTGAGAAGTGACCCTTTCAACCCTAAGCTACATCGATATTGTTGATCGCCCGGCGTTATCGAAGCTTGCGCTTCGGATCGTTTTCTGCCCGCTTATACCGCCTTGACATATTTCCCTCCCCGCCATCGCCGCATCTTAAACCATCGAGAATTGGAGATTACTATATCCCTTCTTTGCAGCATATCTCACCAGCTGGCAGCTCAAAATGCCCTTTGCGCAACTAGTTATAGGGCCCCCGGGCGCGGGGAAGTCAACATATTGCAACGGTATGCATCAGTTTTTGGGAGCTATTGGCCGGAAGTGCTCTATCGTGAACCTGGACCCCGCAAATGACAAGACGTCGTATCCGTGCGCGCTGGACGTTCGAGACCTCGTCACTCTCGAGGAGATTATGAGTGAGGATCACCTGGGTCCTAATGGCGGTGTTTTATATGCACTGGAGGAACTGGAGGAGAACTTTGAGTGGTTGGAGGAGGGGCTGAAGGACCTCGGAGGTAGGCCCTGATCTATCCTTGGGTTTACTGCTATACGACCTAGAGTGCGATAGTTGATACTCATTTGAATAGAGGATTATGTTCTATTTGATTGTCCGGGCCAGGTTGAAATCTTCACGCACCATTCGTCGTTGCGGAATATCTTCTTCAAAATACAAAAATTGGGCTATAGAGTCAGTTCATCTTTATCATCTTTATCATGGCACAAGCATTCCTGCTGACATCGAATACTACAGCTAATTGTAATACATCTCATTGACTCATACAACCTCACATTACCATCGATGTACATATCCGCTCTCCTTCTCTCCCTCCGCGCCATGCTCCAGATGGATCTCCCTCACATCAACGTCCTCACCAAAATCGATAACCTTTCAAACTACGCCCCGCTACCCTTCAACCTCGATTTCTACACAGAAGTCCAAGACCTTTCCTATCTCCTCCCACACCTAGAGGCTGAGTCATCGCGGTTATCACATGCAAAATTTGGGGCCCTCAACAACGCCATCATCGACCTGGTAGAAGAATTCGGGCTCGTGGCATTCGAAACACTGGCCGTGGAAGACAAGAAGAGCATGATGAACTTGCTGCGAGTTATTGATAGGGCGAGTGGATATGCATTTGGGCCAGCCGAGGGCGCAAACGACACCATCTGGCAGGTGGCTGTTCGGGAAGGACTAGGGACCATGGATATCCGAGATGTTCAGGAACGGTGGCTCGACGCAAAGGACGAATACGACGCACAGGAACGCAGTGAGCTCGAGGCCGAGGCGAAAGCCAGGGAGGAAGCAGCACAGCCGCCGCCGAGAGAGGACGACGAATTTGATGCCGATCTGGCCACTTTCAGAGGCTCGATGCCTGACAGCGGTGTAAAAGTGATACGAAAGTCATGATATGAGTCATTTATGGTCTATCCGTACATGTATTATAGGGTATCTCTAATTAACAAACAATCTAACAAACACAAACTCCTGATGATGCACCTATCCGATGGAAGCCGGTCAATCCTCATCATCACTCTCCATATCCACATCGTCCTCATCCATCACATCTCGCGCAGAGGCACTGACCAAACCACCACCAGCCGCAGCCTCCTGGCCCTCCAACCCCCCAACCAACCCATCCAACACCCCCACCCCATCCCCCCCCTTCACCCCCGAGATCCCCCTGCGCGCCCCCCGTCTCGCCTCCTCCTCCGCCTTCCTCATCCTCCCCCACACCTTCACAACACGAAACACACACGACCGCATCTTCCCCCCACCCCCAGGCGCCGTCTCTCACACACATATCCGAGCCCACCACACTAAGGCGAACCTCGTA